AGGGAACCCTACTCCACTGCTGGTGGAGCTGCAAATTGGTACAGCCTTTATGGAAATCAGTCTGGAGAACACTCAAACAACTCAAAATCTGCATACCATATGACCCAGCAATAGCACTCCTAGGAATATATCCAAAACACCTGTTTTACGACAAACCAACATGCATCCCTATGTTCATTGCAGCACAATCAGTAATTGCAAAAACATGGAAGCAACCGAAATGCCCATCAGCAGAAGATTGGATAAGAAAGCTTTGGTTCATCTACTCCATGGAATACTACTCAGCTATTAAAAAAAACAAAATGCAGTTCTTTGTGGCTAAATGGGTACAACTGGAAACTATAATGCTAAGGGAAATGAGCGAATCCCAAAAGATTAGATACCACATGTTTGCCTTGATTTAACCTGTAATTTTTTGTTTGGTTGTTTGTTATTTTTTTTTTTTTTTGAACCTGTCATTGATACTGTCTCAACCCAGATGTTTCGAAGAAGGGAACTTGCATTATTTTTAACATATTGTTTACCCAATACTATGTCAATTAATTCCATAATGTTGTATATTGATACTGTGGCCTCGTTGGGGCTTTTAACTGACTGGATCTTTACTCTGTTAGACCTATTTTCAGACCATAGAAGGTCTCCCCAAGAGGCCACTGAACTTATCTGGACAATAAGACGCTGAACTTTATGCTAGGCATGTGTCTGCAAGCAATGAATCTCAACCGAACTTGAACTATGGTTATGCAACAAGGTGGAGGAATCCACCATGGGGGGAGGGGTATGGGAGGGGTGGGGGGAATCCCCAGCGCCTATGAAACTGTACTACACAATACAATGTAAGCAACAATAATAAAAAAAAAAAAAAAAAAAAAAAAAAAAAAGAAATGATAAGATCAATCTCACTCATAACAGCTATCAAAAATTAAACTGAGTCAAAAATCTCAACGTGAGATCTGGAACTGGGAAACTACTAAAAGACAACATTGAGGAGCACTTGTCAGCACTGGCCTAAGCAGTGATTTGGGGGGTCATGCTTCAAAGGCACAGGCACGAAAAGCAAAAGCAGACAGAATTATAGCAAGTAAAACATCTCTGTGCAGTGGAAGGAATGAAAACGAAACCAAGGAAGACACACACAAAAAAAGCATACTCCTGAACCAGCGAAGAGAAAACCAACAGAATGGGAGACAATATTTGCAAAGTATACATCTGACAAAGCCAGAGTGTATAAGGAACCCCAAAAACTCAGCGACAGAATCAACTAATCCAGTTAAGAAATGGGCAAGATATCTGAACAGACATTTCTCAGAAGACACACAAACAGCCAACAAATAGCTGAAAAATGCTTAATATCACCAGCCATCAGGAAACACTAAACAAAACCACAATGAGGTATCAGATTACTCCAATTAAAATTGCTAGTATCTGTCAGTAAGACAAAAATGTGCTGCTGTGGATATGGAAGAAGTAACACCCTTCTGTGCTTTTGGTGGAAATGCAAATTAGCATAATCATTGTGAAGAACAATAGATCTATAATTTGACCCAAATATCTCACTTCTGGCATATATCTGAAAGAAATAAAATCAGCCTATGAAAGAGATCCCTGCAATCCCCAATTCATTGCTGTGCTATACATAATAGCCAAGATATGGAATCAACCAAGATATCCATTGATAAACTAATGGGTTCAGAAAATGTTATCCTGGCCTGGGTCCCTCTGTCCAGCTGCAAGGTGGGTGCTATATTCATGAGCCCAAGGGGGAGGTGATCTGGCAGGGTTCAGATCACCTGGCCCAGGTCTCTTGGCCTGCCTGTGAAATGGGTGTCAGGTTTGTGAGCTCTGGAGTCAGGGGAGATCTGGGGGGCCGGTTCACCTGACTCAGGTCTCTTAGCCCACCTGTGAAGTGGGCGCTGGGTTCTTGAGTCCCCGGGGGTGTGGGATCCGGCGGGGCTTAGGACACCTGGCCCAGGTTCTTAGGCTCACCTCTAAGAACATGTCCTCCTAAGTCAAAAACGCAAAGCAGTGGACACAGACCCTGATGCAAATGGAGAATATGGCAGTTCATTGGGTACCATAGCAGAAGAAGAACAAACAAATTGCTCAACTACCCCAGCCAAACAGTGACAGCAAAAATCTGGATTAATGAAGACTTGAGGCTGACCTTGTCAGCCAATGAACATTAGGAGGACTGCATCATCCTTGGTTCAGTGAAGTTGACAGCATTTCAGAACTATCCAAACCACTTGATCAGAACCCTCAGAATATGCACATAGGGACCTGGGTTGATATCAGGTGGTGGTTCCCCATTTTTAGTATTGGGTCATCTGGAAAGTCTTGTGTGGCTTCCCCTTTATCTCTTCCCCCTGCCCCCTAGAAACAAGAAGAAAAAATAGCAAACTTGGAAATGATGAGTTCACCCAATTTTCCCTAAACCTCAGTCCTTCCCATTCTGATCAACCATGCAATCATTATAAGAAATGAAATAAATACTAAAGAAAAGGTGATTCATATGCACAGTGAAATATTATTTAACTATAGAAGGAATTAAATCTCAACATTTGAAGCAAGATGGATAGAACTGGAGATCCATTATATTAACGGAAATAAACAGGTACAGAAAAACAAATGCTACATGTTTTCTGTCATTTGTGCAACTTAAAAACATACTCAGTCTGGGCTTAGAACAGTGATTGCTGTAGAGAAGTTGGGGAACAGTCACCAAGCATAGAAGTGGTAAGCTCTGGTGTTCCATAGCACAAAGAAGTAAGCACAGTTCATAATACTGTGGGGCTTCCAAGGGTGAAGTGATGACTTTTTGCATTAGAGTAAGAAATGAAAGTTCCATAAGATACATGTAATAACTAGGGGGATATCCAGTTCAGAATAGAGAAATAGTCAAGGAACAGAAAGTAAACTGAACACCTCCAGATAGGTGGATAGCCCAGTGGGGATTCAGCTGCCCTGGATCTTTAACCATTTATTTGTTTGTTTGTTTGTGTTTGGTTGTTATATTTTCTTAACTTAGTAATATATAGAGAACAGATTTGATGAATTTCATAGATCCAATTCTATGAATACAATACTTTCCTCCTTTTCTTTTTTTCCTTTTAATTTTCACAATAGCATACTTTGAATCTATAATCATAGGCTAGGTGTGTTAAGTGCTTATGAAGAACTGGAAGAGGATCCAATAGGCTAATGAGCTCCAAACACAAAGAAGCAAGACGGAAATTACCTTGGTTGATTTTCTCTCAGTATATGTGTTGGAATGTTACACTATGCCACATAAAAATTTACACACAGTGCATACTAATTAAAAATGTGTTTAAGTGCCATCATTTTTAAAAATTATTTTTGCAAATGGTTCATGATTTAACCATTAAAACCTTTAAAAAAGGAGAATCGTTTTGCCGATGCATGGTTGCACAGTATCATGTCATTAATGCCATCAAACTTTACACTTGGAAGGGTTAAATGGAAAATTTTATGTCATGTATAAGACTGCATTTTTGAAAAAAATGTGGAAGAGGAGACAGAAGGGATAACTCAAATGATTTAGCCTTGCAGCCACAGTCCACCATCGTGCGGACACAAGACATCTCTGACATCATACTTTGATCACTTGCTCTGTTTTACTCCACTCCATTCCTCACCCCAGTTTCTTAACATTATCCCTTTGGGCCAGGGAGTGAGCAAGATTTCCTAGAAACAGAACGATGTTCAGGTTCTGATACTTTCTCATAGTAAGTCCAAAATGATCATTTAAAATGCTATAATGCTAAACCTATCAACAGGTGGGTTTTTTTTTAAACTTACGATTTTAAAAAGAGAGCGAGAAAGCCCTTCTGTGTTTGATGTTCATGTGAAAGTTGTGTAAAATCAAAACTGTACTTGGAAGCTGCAAGATCTTGTGTGGGGGAAGGGTTAAGTGTTTTCGGATTGTGACAGTGATGGGTGAGACTACAAAACTGAAAGCAGCCATGAAATGCATTTTTGCAAAAAGGTTTGGGGTTTATTAGAAGTTAAAAATAATTGAAAAAGCTGTGCCTTTCTTGTTGCATTTCAGTAAACAGTTATTTATGTGCTACACCATGCATGTTTAGGAGCTGGAGTCCTTTACAGAGGCCGTTCTCAGAGAAACAAGGAGAAAGCTAAGCTATTAAAGCAATTCAGCTGAAAAAGTTGACATATAAATGCTGCAGTTCTGAAAACTGTAGCCATATTAGAACGAGTGATAATAATAGTTAAATTGCTGGTGTCTGAATTTTGTTAATTATAGCTCCAAAGGTTCACTCTGGCAGCTGCTTACAAAAATATGCATACTCCACCCTTTTGTAATAGAAAGGTAGACGTACAAAGTTGTATTCATTTATTTAGGTTCCACTGAGACCATCATCATAAGCTTTAAACATTCAACCCTCATTTTACAATTCATCTGCCATGCACAATATTGCATATGCGCCTTGCCTGATGCATGCAAAGCTCTTTGAGCTCCTTGGCCAAAAGAGAACATACAAAGTATTATCTTACATTATTTTACTCTATCCTTTCCACTCCCAAATAGAGAGCTTTGATGAGGATGAGGAGCTTTGAACTTGTGCCAGAAAGGTCTCCCTAAAGACCAACAGACTGCCTTCACACTGAAGTAAGAAGAGATTTTGTGAACTTCTGCTTACCCATAATACTCCCCTGCCTTCTGACAGCAGCACCTTCACATACAGTCTTCTCTCCTGCTTTCTTTAGCCAAGCTGCTAGTGTGTAGTCCAAGTTACCAATGCCCTTGAATATCAACCACTCTTTTCACTTTCGTGTGTTCTAGTTAGAGTTTAGAGCTTTTGGAAGACACTGGAAGATGGGAAGATTGAGTGACTCACTTGAGATGTGCCCATTTAAGTTCTGCTATCATCACTCACCCCGCAGTTCTGACATTGACAGTGTATGTATGTCTTGAATTTGGAGAGCTTGCCTCTCACCCGCCTGTCCCCCTTGCTCCTCAGGAATTCCAATGCTGAAGATTGTGTTTGCGGGCCATGAGCATCTCTCTTTAATATCCGTCCCCTTGCTCATCTACCACCCAGCTCAGATCCTTCTGGGGAGTGTACTGGTGCCAACAATCAAGTCTTGGATGGTGTCGAGACAAAAGGTGAGGTTCTAGAAAGGATACAAACCAGATTGAAATGCCTTTCCCAGGTCATGCTAGCAAATCCCCTTGTTCTACTATATATTTGCTTAACTAAATATGATAATAAGAGGAACATAATCCGTTTCATTTGAACAGACAGGTTGAGAGTCAATTGTTTTGAATTTTTATAAAAGAGATTTAAGGCCTAACATGCAATTTGTAAAGTTCTTTCTGTTTCATGAGGTAAAAGTTAAATAAATATGCCCCAAATATGTGCCTCCTTCACCATCGTATACAACACCTTTGTCCCCCCAATCTTTTATCTGTATCCTAATTTTGCATACCTTTTTCAAAATGGCGAAATTTGGCTTGATGCAGATGCCTTTTTATTTTAATTTTTCATAGGCATAATAATTTCTTTGAACATTAAAAATTAAAATTTAGGAATGAAGGTGTCCACATGATGTTCGTTTCACCACACTTAGCTCAAGTTTTATCACATATTATAAACTTTTTGATTTTCATTTCCTCAATCCTTAACCACAACAAGGTAAACCTGGCGATATACAGCAAGTTTAGACATGGATGATGGGTGTAACATAGTTACATCATCAGTGCTGGCTCATTTGCAATGGCTTAAACCTACTAGGACTTCTTTTTGTCCCTAATCAAAGTAGCTACCATTATCAGCATATGTGTAGGAAGAAGACACCCAAAGGCAAAGTATCATGCTGTGTCCTTCCTGCCCTGCAAAGAGAAGCCCACAGGACCACTTGCTGAGTTGTGTGTGCTAAGCATGTAAGCATGGGCTCTCTGCTGGTCCAGAAAATGAGTCGCAAGTTCTGTTGCCAGTTCTACCACTTTCTCCCTGTGTGACCTTGGGCACACGTCACTTCTCTGCACTCACTTTCAGCTACTAGAAAACTAAGGGCAACATCTACATCCTGGAGCTGGAGAGGTATGATAAAGGTAGCTGCTGTTGTTACTGTTAACTGCCATGCGGTTCATTAGCATATATGATAATGTTCAAAGTTGATCTTGCTTTGCTTTCATCAGACAGGTTAGAAAACAAGCTCAGGATTGAACCATTTGCCCAACGTCCTATGGGTAATTTACATTAGATGGTGCTTTTACACTTGAACCTGGTCTATTGGGCCTCCCATATTTTTCCAAACCACCATGCTAACACTCCAGACAGAAACAGAAAGATCTCTTTCAGGAGGCACACCCAGGGCTCCCAGAATTCTACCTGAGAAGTTGAGGTCATCCCACATGACTACTCATTCAGCTGTTTAACAAGTGATTCTGGGTCTCTGCCAGGTACCAATGTAATCTATGGGCTGCTACTCACACAGAAGAGGAGCAGTTTGGTATCCCCTGTAAAAACTTCTGTTGTGCTTAGGATGTACAGTGTTGGCCAGAATTTGTTTATATAAATTTTGACAAAGGATATAAATAAATAAAATTTTTTTAAAATCCCAATCCTCATCAATGGTGTGCAGTCATCATGAACAGCAAATTAATCAGAGTGAATTTTTCTTCCAAATCTTCCATCACTCTGGGGCTCAGTCTGCAGGGAAACAGGGATATTTCCAAAAGGGAGACTAAAGAGGGTTTTGTTGTACATTTCCCTATGAAAGAGAAACCCTCTAGGCCAAGAGTCCATCCTTATGGCAACATTGAGTGGCCCCCTCTGCTTTGTAGAACACTCCAGTAGACCTCAGGTCGCCATCTTGTGTGCTGTGGAACCCAAGATCACTATCTTGTGTGCCTGGAAGTGTAAGAGTAGTTGAGGAGGGCAGATGACTGTAGAAAATCTGGTTGACACTCAAGGTCACCGTCTTGTGTGCCATGGAGCTTTTAGTGTGGTGGAAAGCAAATGGCAAGTCTGCGGACCAGTGAGGTGGGACGTAAGTCTGTTTGTATTTAGGCTTTGTCTTGTTGGTCATGCAGCGCTGTTAAGGTAGGTCTCCTGATCCTTCTAGAAGCATAAATTCTCAGCTCCCAAAGCTGCCTGTCTCTGACCAACACTTTTCTCTTTCTCACAGGGAGTGAAGCTGACGAGGCCAACGGTATAAGGAAGGCAGCACACTCTACGTACCAGTGTACATATGTACAGGATTGGACCTACGGATCATTCTGAAGACTTGTACTTGTGAATGTTGTTCCAATGCACATTTTTATTTTTTTATACAAAAACACGACACACCTGTTGAAGTGCCTTACATTGCATTTGACTAGAGCGTTATTTCCAAATGTGCTTTGTTGGTGACTGCTAGAGGTGGTACAATATTTTGGAGTGAATTTCTTTTCTCCTGATGCAGGGAAACAGTCGTAGTAAAGTGACAAAAAGCTCACGTGCTTTCCCAGTGCCACTTTCTGTGCAATGCAGCTCCGTGTTAGCTGCTGTCATGCTTGAAATGAGGTCACAGCATCAGGAAATCGCCCTCCTGATGACAGTGAAAACTTCCAAAGTCGGCTTCACGTGTCCTTTGATTTGCTGTTGAGTCTTTCTTCCTGCAACTGTGACATGTCTCTCCCCGATGAGCTCAGCGGGAATAACGTCTCTAGTAGACACTGAAAGGTGGAAGGGAGCTTTGCCTCGCCTGACATCATTTTCTCAGACATTCCTTTAGGAGTTGGCACACAGAAACTCCTCAGTCCCATTACAAGAGAGCATGGTGTTCTGTGTCTTAAATTTATTATAAACCTCTTCAAAGACGGGGCCTAATGTTGGAGCTATGAGTGAAGTTTTGAGGTAAGCTGCAGGATTCAGTTGGCAGGGTTACAGTTACATCTCCATCTGTTTTTCCCTGGCTTTGATGACGTCTTCCTTACCTGCTCTCCAGCCTACCTGCGCACTCATTCACGAGACACGAACGAAAGCATTACTGTCACTTTGAGAGCAGCAACAGTTGACGATAAGTTACATTCACATTCCACGTCTGAGACCAACATTTCTTTTTCTGTTACACAGATGTGCCAAACACTTTCCAAATTGCCCTTTCCATAGCCAGAAGCAGCCTGTTACATCCTGGAATTACACATACCTAAGGTACTCGAGACAGTTTGCTGATGAGAACTTCCATGGCAGATTTCACAAATGCTTGCAACATTTTAAGACAATGTTATTAAGAATGTTATGATTAAGAAAATCATATTGCTTTTAGGAATAAATGGAAATATGCAGGTCATCAATACAAACAAATATTACAGACACACATTCTGTCCAGCCAGATGGAGAGAACAAACATTGCCTTGTCAAAATATCAAGTAAAATTACTTCTCAGTTGGGTATTAGATTTCCAAAGATATGCAGTTCTTGCTTGTGTATGAGTAGAGGAGTATCAACGGGACCCCACATAGAGAGTAAAGCAACACAGAGAATCAAGGGGATTGGTGTTCTATGTCTGCTGCACACCCTCCTGCCATGTCCCTTCCTCAAGTCCTTTCCTGATAGGCCAGTGGAGATTGACTCCCTGCGTCTCACACTTGATCCTCAGTGGGTGTCTTTGTTGTGGTTCTACTGCCCGTAGGATAACCGGTCATTCCTTAGGAAGCTCCCAAGCTTACCAATTGTGTAAATTGTAGATTACTGTTAGCACCTGGTCTTTTTAAAATTTTTTCTGCTTGTAATTCCTTTCAATGTCATTGAACTTCATACATTTCCCAAGAATTAAACTCAATGTAATGTCGAGGCTGATGCCAGACCCTGTAGGGATCCATACTCAATAACTCAACAAGCTGTAGTACACACTGTTACCAAGAGTTTCACTTCTAGCTAAAAACTCTGGTGACTGTACTTCGATATGTGAGGCTTACCTAGGGAGCAGAAAGCTGCTCAGGTTTTGTTCCTACAGGCTTCTCTGAGTTTTAGAGTGAATGGGAGTCTGTCCACTGCCTGCCTGCCGGTCTAAGCTGTCTTAGAGCTTTTCTTCCTAGCATTTGAATACTGATTTCCTCCCCAACTTAACTACCTCTATTGTCTAACACCTACAGTAGGTGTGATTATGGAATATGAATCAACTGAAAAAAAATACTATGATAACATTTTATCTGTTGCTTTAAAACTGTTTTTTTTGTATTCAAATAATCTTTACTTGGTGAATTGTGATGACTTTTGTGACATGTTTATGCATATTTCTTTTTTTTACACAAATGCCATGGCATATTTTTCCATAAAAAAACTAAAGTCAAATGTATTTGTAATTCATGCTTATTGGGATTTAATTGTTCAGAATTTAAATTTTTTTTCATGTTTTTATACTGTCAAGCCATCTATCTTATGTCTTTGTTTAGTTTCAATGTATTTATGAAAGAAATACATTAGATTGTATTTATGTTTATCCACTTCCCCACTTGGTTTATTTTTCTTAGTGGTTGCTAAAAAATTTGGGTTTTTTAGGGGTGGTAATATTTATCTTTTCTTGTGTTCTTTGTTTTACATTGTTTGTGGGTTTTTTTTTATTAAAATGTTTCCTTTTTCTGTTTATAATTAGCACACCTCTGGCTAATGTTCAGTGTTTGTTTATGCTAAATACCAAAATTTTTTCGAAAGGACTAGTTGAGTAAGGAAGCGGATTATTTATGGTGAATGGAAGATGAAAACAATTCTATGATTAAACAAAGAGATGTTTCCAGCATCAGAGAAGAATCTGTGGCTTATTTGTAACCTAATCTCAGATACTCACAGTGGGTGTTGGGTATCTGATTGCTGTTGCTTTCACAGCAGAGCTGTTCCATCGTCTGTGTTCAAATAGACATCAACTTCATAGTCTCCTTGGGTATCCGCAGCAGAACCTTCATCACGCCACACTGTTAAAATCCAGAGTTTACCCTTGCATTTTTATCAGAGATATGACTGCTTTGCTTCGGGGTTGAGGAATCAGAAACAGGCAGCAGGAGGAACACCATGTGGGTGTTGTGAACTGATTCCACCCTGGACAAGTTTTGAGGAATGAAACAGACAGAACCTCAGCATCTCCCCACACTCCCCATTCCTCTGATGAGTAAATCACTTTATCTACAATTCCATATCATTGTGCTGTCCTGTTAGCTTGGATATCTGCAGGGTCCAGGAACCCTTCCTGATTCCCCGGTCAGTGCCAGACTTGCTCCTTTTTCCACGCCCTTAGAATCTATGCCTCAAGTCTCCTGAAAGGGTTGCATTAGCCAATCATGAACTTAAGCTCTGTCTTCCCCCATCGTCTCGTTTCTGTTTTTGTACTAGCAGAGCCTGGTTCAAAGCAGTAATACCTATCCCCTCATCCCCACCAAATATATATATATATATATTGATTTGACAAATTGTGCTCTTAACAATTTCCAACTTAGGTGATCCATCCCCAATGTGGAATTCGCTACTGATTTAAAAGGAAAGCTAACTTTTCCTAGTCCTTCCCTCCTGAGTAGAGCTGTGATGCACAACTGTCAGAAAAATGGATCTCTCTGCAACTGTGCGTTTCTCCAAGGTTTTTATCCAAGGTTTTTGCTTGGCTCTGGCAAACCAGCCCTCTGCAAGGCGAGCCTGCTCATGGGATGTGCAAGTGATTCTCTTCTGTGCTCAGTGAGGTCGAACTGAACTATTGAATCTATTTTGTATATAAACAATTCCTCGTAGAAACTGCGACATACTGTGAAAAGCTAGCTGGAAGGGATTATCATCATTACCACTAGATTGTCTACAGTAAATGAAAATCTTAAAAGACTATTGTCTCTTCCAAATCTTCTATACACTATAGGGCATCTTTTTTTCAAATGTGAAAAAACAGCAACCCCATTTAAAGAAAATGCATTCCTATAGACCCAGGAGAACTTACCATCCTGCACCATTTTAAGAAACTCTGCATTCAACACTAAATGAAATAAACAGATGCAATATATACAGAAATCAGCCAGGGATCAAGCATGTTTACACCATAGAGATGGGTAAGCTACAGATGGCAGGATGGAGCCTTAGTGAGCCTCCCTACTGCATCTGAACCCAGGTTCACTTACATTTGAATGTACAATAGTATGAGAATGAACTCCACATTCCATGAGAAGTATTTGCTCCTCAAGCTTCCCAAAGTTTCCATTTTTCTGATCGTTCCCCTGCCTGTGACTTGCTCTGTACAACTGCGGCTCTGTAATTGATCTCCCCATATCATTTTTTAGCAAATGTTGAACTTCTTCATTTCCTCCCAGGTAAACCAAAAACTCATTATTGAGGCTCAGTTTTGCAAAGCATTGCTTTTTCATGTTTGTGTGGGTGGAAATACAGATATTAGAACTAAAAAAAAAACTTCAGATATGATGATAATGATAAAAGTTTATATAGGTTACAAGGTCTGTGCCCAACTCTTCTATAAAGATATTTAGGTGGATTAAGATGTGTTTACATGCATTAGCCTGTTTGGTAGCTGTCTTCAGAAAGCCCTGGCCATTTTGCCATCATGTGGCCTGGCATTAAAAACCCCAAATAAACTATTTTAAATGCTTACATCAAATGTAAAGCCAGGAAGTAGATGCTTTGGGACTGGATTGCTGGCTTCACCCAGCTCCCAGGGCACAAGCCTCCTGGTTTCTTATCTCATCACCATTCCCAGAGCAGGGTGACCTGTGCCTGCTGGGTCTCCTGTCACCTCCTGTGGACTTCATCGGCCACCATGACCTAACAGGGAAGAATGCACCAACACGCAGCTAGTGACACCAGACCTACGGCTCCTTTCTGATTTTGCCATGCCAGCATGGCTTTCCATGGAACCTCGTGGAACACCCAGAGCACCTGATTTTAGCAGTCGTTCTTAAGACCCAGAGGTTAGCTACTGTCTCATCGGTCAACAGATTCCATGTTCTCTTTCCTTCACCCCTAAACCTGGTGCTCAGTATTTGCCTTTGGCACCAGGAGCCACCATGGAGCTTTGGGTAAACAGTCTTTTCTCTCTGGGTCTTCCCAGTCTATGTGGTGTGGGTCCCCTTCTTCGTGTACTGCTTTTACCCTGCCTGGGACTCCTCAGCCCCATTTCCCACACTGCCTGCTCTGACTGCAAATCCCTCTCAGCTCAACATGCAGACCCATCTGAGTCTCAGGTTTACGTTAGTGCCTCCAAGATGTAAGTGATGCCATTCCTTCACAGGTCACCCAGGGAGGAGCAGTTTCTGTTACACGTTTATGATAGCCCCTCCAAAGTGTGACTAAAGTGAAATGAAAAGGTAAATCCCTCTTCTGGATTCCTGCTTCCTTGGAATGACCACTGTTGAGAACTAGTGTAGTTAGAACGCTTTTGTTATTAATGTTACAGCCTTGGGAAAGTCACTTTTTGTGTGACCCAAGTCTGTCATTTGTAAAATGGAAAAATTACTACTTACCTCCAAGCATCATATATGTTGCCTTCCACAGTGCCCAGCATAAAGATTTAACAAATGGTACCAGGGGGCCAGCATTATGGAGCAGACCCCGCTGTAACTCACCATCCCACATGGGTGCCAGTCTGAGTTCTGCTTCCTGCTCATGGCCAGGGAAAGCAGTGAAAGAAGGTCCGAGTGCTTGGGACCCCACATCCATGTGGGAGACACAGAAGACACGCCCAGCCCAGCCCTGGCTGTTGTGGCCATTTGGGTAGTGAACATGTGCAAAGAAGATCCCTCTCTGCTTTTCCTCCTGCCTCTGTAACTACATTTCAAATAAATAAGTAAATGCGCAAGATTAGCAGTAATTACCCTTCCTTTTAAAAAACTGCACAATACAATAACCGATGCTGAGGTGAGGCGAGCCATGCCAGCCTGGGGTCAGTGAGTGCTGTATTTATGAGCCCTGGGGACCAGGCATCCAGTAGAGCTTGGGTTGCCTGCCCTGGGTCCCGGGGCCCACCAACTAGAAGGATGCTGGGTTCACGAGCCCCAGCGGTTGGGGAACTGGCAGTGCTCGGTTGGCCTGGAGCCTAGGCCCATCTGCATGGTGGGTGCTGGGTTTGTGAGCCCTGGGGGCAGATCTGGTGGGGTTTGAGTTGCCCGGTTCAGATTTTTAAGCCCACCAATGAGGGGATGCCAGGTTTGTGAGCCCCAGGGGTGGGGACACCTGCTGGGCCCAGGTCACCTGGCCCAAGTCCCTGTGCATGCCTGTGAGGTGGGTACCAGGTTCATGAGCCCTGAGGTTGGGGGATCCATTTGGGCTCGGATCACTTGGCTCGAGTCCTTGGGCCCACCAGCGAGGGGGTACTGAGTTTGTGAGCCCTAGGGGGTGGGGGATCCAGTGGAGTTCAGTTTGCCTGGCCCAGGTCCTTGGACTCACCTGCAAGAATATGTCCTCCTTGGAGAAAAGGACAGAGAAGTGGACACAGACCCTGACGCACATGGAGAATAAAGCAGCCTATTTGATACCATAGCAGAAGAAGGAAAACAGAACAAATTAGACAACCATCCAGCCAAACAATGTCAACAAAAATCTGAGTGAATGGAGACTTGAGGTTCACTATGTCAGCCAACGGACTCTGGGAGGGTTGCCTTGCTCTTGGATCAGTGAAATCAACAACATTTCAGAACTACCCAAACCACTTGGGAAGAACCTTCAGAACATGCACACACTGGGACCCTGAGTTGATACTGGGTAGCAGTTTCCCATCCCTGGGTACTGGGACATTTGGGAAGCTGGGTGTGGCTTCCCTCTGTAGCTGTTCTCCTTCCCCTAGAAACAAGAAGAAATAGCAAAGAAAGAAAAAAGTCACCAAAAACTCAGGCAGCCAAGGCTAAAATAAATAAGTAAGACTTTAAAAGAAGGATTTAGCAATTATTTGAAAGGAAGAGTTACAGAGAGAAAGAGGAAGAGAGAACCAGAGAGAGAATCTTCAATCTGCTGGGTTGCAAGCACTTGGGCTGTCCTCTGCTGCTTCACCAGGCACATTAGCAGAGAGCTGGAAGGAAAGTGGAGCAGCCAGAACATGACCAGGTACTCATATGGGATTCTAGCACCACAGGCAGAAGCATAGCCTAAATGCCACAGTGCCAGGACTAACCGCTTAGCTATTTTTCCAAGGCAGATTTCAGAAATGAGATAACTTGGTTAATGAACCCCTATTCTTAGCTTGTTTCAAACAATTTAATTTGAAAGTCAGAATTACAGAAAGAAAGACAGAGAGGTCTTCCATCCACTAGTTCACTGTCCAAATAACTGCAATGGCTAAAGCTGAGCCAATCCGAAGCCAGGAGACAGGAGTGTCTTCTGGGTCTCCCACATGAGTGCAGGGTCTCAAGGCTTTGGGCCTTCCTTCACTGCTTTCTTAGGCCACAAGCAGGGAATTGGATGGGAAGTGGAACAGCCAAATCATGAATCAGAGCCCATTTGGGATGCCAGTGCTACAGGCAAAGGATTAGCCTATTATACTGCAACACAGGCCCCACTACATCTCAACTTTTGATGGCACTGTTTCATGGTCCATGGGTTCCCCAGTCTGTGTTCCCACCAGGAGGCCCTGAGCACTTCTCCTTTGCGTCTTGTCAGTATTTGGAAGCCATCAACTTTACATTCAGAGACATGATGGTATCTGGTTTAAATTTGTATTTCCAGATTCATGATGGATTTTTGTTGCCCATTCTCCTGGTGTGCATAAAAGAGTCCCACATTCCGTTCTCTCTGCCCTGAGCTTTGGGGTGCAGCTTGTTCAGGACAAACACAAATCTTTGTGTTGCAGGAACCACA